ATATATTTGTATGTCATATATATGTATATGTATATATATATATAAATATATATATTTATATTTATATCTGATCTGTTGATATTGTTCTCTTTCGTAGGCGTATTCAACTTCGCATGAATTAGTACTGTTCACTGGCTACTTCTAGTACACCAAAACTATCTGTTCATACAATGCTCTACACCTAATTGCCTTCTGCCTCAGATATTTTGACTTGCTGACTAATGGTAGTGTGTCTCGCGAGGAATTCGTGCAGGTCCTCATGGCAAACAGCAGCGCAGGTGAGTGTACAGTGCCCATTAATATACAATCTAGTAAAACCCCTAAAAAAACTCTATCACCAGTAATATGCAAGGGAGTGTAGTGTGTCCATTAATATACTATCGAGTACGTATTCTTATCACCAGTAATGGGCAAGGGAGTGTAGTGTGCCCATTAATATACAATCGAGTACGTATTCTTATCACCAGTAATGTGCAAGGGAGTGTAGTGTGCCCATTAATATACAATCGAGTACGTATTCCTATCACCAGTAATGTGCAAGGGAGTGTAGTGTGCCCATTAATATACAATCGAGTACGTATTCCTATCACCAGTAATGTGCAAGGGAGTGTAGTGTGCCTATCAATACACAATCGAGTGCGCATTCCTATCATCAGTAATGTGCAAGTGGGTGTAGTGTGCCTATCAAAACACAATCGAGTGCGTATTCATATCACCATTAATGTGCAAGTGGGTGTAGTGTGCCTATCAATACACAATCGAGTGCGTATTCCTATTATTAGTATTGTGCAAGTGGGTGTAGTGTGCCTATCAATACTCAATCGAGTGCAAGTGGGTGTAATGTGTCTATCAATATACAATATAGGGTGTGCCGTTGTTGCCCAGTATAGTGTATAATGTTTTATGCAGCGAATACTCCAATACCCGAGTGCTTGTAGGTTGGTTCGTAGTTCTGAAGATCAAGTCTACATGTACATACAATCACCCGCGCGATGTCAGTTGTCATGTGTATTCATGTGTAAGATATATACGTACCAGTCCATTCCCCACAATATATAAGCTACACACACACAACACACAACCGTCTGTGTATGCATGCATGCATGCATGTATTCTGACCTATCTCAGGAAAGCAACTACTTCTGTCTCTATGTGCACGTCCACATGTCACGGGCATGAGCGAACGTCTCAACCAAGTTCATCAACACGTTCTATCAAACCCGTATTTTAGGGTTTTAGGTGTTTAGGGGTTTAGGTGTTTAATTTAGGTGTCTAGGGTTTGATGTGTTTCAGGTTTTAGTGTTGGTTTCTCAGCTGGTTTCAGCTGTATGTAGTGCCATGAACCGTAAGCACACGCTCGCGTGTAGTATTAGCGCACCCACGTGGCCCACCTTCGAAAGGCCTATGCGTAGTCATTCGCTTTGCGTTAAACGTCTCACGTCTTCAGGCGTAGTCCCATGCCAGTACACATTGGCATCTGTGCGTGGCTGTGTACAGTTTGTTGGAACGCAAATGCCACATCCGTATATACTTGTAGGTAGCTCTGTTTTTGTTTACACCCTTTTTGTTTGCATTGGCATGCATACTTGCGCTACTTGGATGTATGCGCCTGTCCCTGATGATATTTATTTATAACTACTCACATGCAATCCGGCTGTCCCGCTTTAAACCGGTACAGTGGCGGACGATACCATGGGCGCACTGGACAATTCGTTCATCAATTTCGGGTGCGACCTGATGAACAGGTTTTTCGGACCGGAGGGGGCCGCTCCAGCGCAAATAGGACAATTGGAAAGCAAGGATACAGATAGGACAAACGAACCACACGCAGACTCAGATACAGATACAAGCACAGACGTAGCCACACCATCAGACAGTGACAGTCGGATACAATCACACAGAAACACCGAGACACTGGCAGATGCAGACGTAGATAGCATAGACAATCAGACACATGACACACCCCATAGCAACAGCACAGGCACACCCGACAACACACCAGCCACACTCCCACACACAGACGACACCCAGGCACACCCAGACACCCAGACGCGCACACACGATGACAGGATAGACCCATCGTACCGAGACGAAGGGGTGTGGGAGGGGGATGATGTGACGGTGTCTGACATGCCACAGGACCAGCCGGTGCGGTCACGTGCGTTGAACTTTCCCGAATTCGCGGAGTTCTTCAGTGCCTTTCAGACGGAATATGCGCTGCAACTGTTCGAGCTGTACGACAAGGTGAGCCGTGGGACACGGGCCTGTACTATGCGTGTGTATGCGTGTGTATGGTGTGTGTATATGTGTTTGTGTATGTATGTATGTGTGTGTGTGTGTGTGTGTGTGTATGTGTGAGTATATATATATATATATGTGTGTGTGTATGGCTGTATGTATATGTATGTATGTGTGTGTAAATATATATCTATATATGTGTGTGTTTGTGCGTCTGTACTATGCGTGTGCGAGTGTGTATGTGTGTGTTTGTGCGTATGTCAAGTCATTGTCCGATTCGGTTGACAGGGTGTATTGGTTGTATCTAACCTGTTGTTAGTGTGTGCGAGTATGTGCCGTTGTGTGTATTTCTGTGCGCTTGCTAGTTACTGTTCGATGACCTTTGACAGGTGCATAGTGTTCAATAGTAGACCTGTTCTCTGCCCGTGTGCTTATATGCATAGGCGCGTCTGATTGATTCTTTGTAGTTAGCACACCCACTCACCCTCATAGGCTTACTTGTTGTACTAGCAACTGATGAAACCGCAAATAAACAATGCCTCTCACGCCACACAGAACAAAGCCGGGAGAATCACTGTGGAGGGGTTTCTTGAAATAGTACCGAACATGAGCAATGCGCGAGCAGAGATGTACGCAGAGCAGTTCATTGACTGTGTGGGCGATAAGGGCTTCATTACATTCGCAGAGTTCACCGCTTTTCAGAAGTTCATCAATCACTTGCCGGCCATTGAAAGGTATATGCACGCATGTGATCACCATCGTACACATACGCACACACACATACGCACACACACACACACACACACACACATATATCTATATCTATATCTATATCTATATCTATATCTATATCTATATCTATATATATCTATGTATATCTATATATATATATATATATATATAATATAC